GGCTAAAAATGCTCGAAACATAAGCAAACTTGGCAAGCAGATTACAAGCCCGAAATGTAGTTATAGAATATGATTTTACTGGTTCAGAGTGGCAAATCGGCTCAATAGCGCCCCCTACAAAATTTTGACGAAGCAGCCCTCGCAGTATGTTTGACCTAGATGTATGAAATTTGGTAGGAACATGTATCACATATGGACTTAAATAAAAGTCTCTTGGGGCCATGCTCTAAACCCAACCGGAAGTCAGCCATTTTGAATTTATTATGAATTTCTAGTGTCGTTTTTGTCAAATCCAGGCGCTGCACTTTAACGAACTCCTCCTAGGGAATTAATCAGATCAACTTCAAATTTGGTCGGTACAGTCTAAATACCTGGCATACACATTTAAAGCCCAAAATGTAGTTTTATAATATGATTTTATTGGTTCAGAGTATCAAATCGGCTCAATAGCGCCCCCTACAAAATTTCGACGAAGCAGCCCTCGCTGTACGTTTCACATAGATTTACAAAATTTGGTAGGCACATGTATCAAATGTGGACTTAAAATAAAGTCTCTTGGGACCATGCTCTAAACCCAACCGGAAATCAGCCATTTTGAATTTTGTATGAATTTCTCATGGTTTTTTTCCATTTCCAGGTGCTGTACTACGAACTCCTCCTAGGGAATTAATCCGATCACCTTAGAATTTGGTCAGAACAATCTAAAGACCTTAGCGATTAAAAGTTACTAAAAGCTTTAGGTTTCATCGAACGACGTGGATATGGTGTGATGGCCATTTTACATGGTTCGCCATCATCCATCAAGCTGTTGTAATTCGACTGTACTTTGTCAAAACTGTCCCAAAGTTGACATGCTTGTCGACTGTCATGGCTTTAGGACTTCTGCATGCCAATATTAACTCATAGTCATAGCGCCACCTACTGATAAGCATGGACGTAAGCAGGATTCTATAATTACAGCGGCCCAAACACTGAACTTATTGAAAGGGTTTGTGGGCACACCATGAGAAAAAGACTTCTCTGATCTAAATATGTGCAAACTAAGATGCTTGGAGAGCAAATGTTAGATAACAGTGGATTTTCAAACCATGTCCGTGGCCATTAGTATAAATGATCTGTCCAGAGCTTCTTCATGACAATCAGGTTAAATGTTACAATGAATGCTTCACACTACAATCTAAAGTTACAGAAGAACTTAAAATGAAAACAGTGTTAAATTAAAGTGTTCAAGTAACAGCAAACGGCACTACTGTTTGTAGTGCTATACTATTGTATCTGATGTACACTCAAAACATTTGAGGCTTAAGACCTGGCAACATGATCTTGCTACGCTGCTGGTCTACGCAGGAAATATCTCACTCGTGCACGCAGTGTGATGGACACAGAAATTCATGGCCGCGTCACCCAGAGTCCTGCCAGTACCAGGAAATACCGTTTAACTCGTGCACGCAGTGTATGACGGTCACAGAAATGCATGGCCAGAGTCCTGCTAGTACCCTCGACGTGCGTGAAGTTGCGAGGGCCCGATCAATGCTGCTCGCAGCTTTAATTATAACTTATTTTTGCTCATGAAACATTTTTTTAATAAGTACGAAAACCATACAGAACCAGGCTTTGACAAATGAAAAAAGGGTTAGGGTTGGGTTTCTCCCTGAGGCGAAAAACTGTAGGCGGGCAGATTTCTCCTCAAGTGTGACTCAAACTGAGAGTCATGCGGGACTTTTTATGTTTTGTATACAGAGCATGATCGACTTTTTGGATAATGGATCCCTTATCACTGGAAGATAATGAGCAACAGCCTCCAGTCATATTTCATCATGTGCGGCTCGCTGACAGTTAGGTGGTCAGCCATGTCTACAGTTGGATGTTTGTGTTCTTCTAATGTCTTACCTGTCTCGTATGCAAAACAGCTGGAATTATTAAAATCATTCCATTGAATGACAGATCTTTGGAGACGTTACAACTGAGTTATACTTTTCACCATGAGGAAGCCTCCTGTGCTGAAAAATGAAGACAACAAAGAAGTGCCAACAACTGCAGTTCCTCAAATGGCCACTTGAGGCTGGTTCCAAAAGCGACTCAATCCCCATAGACCACCATGTTAAAATGTCCAACTCTACAGCTGAAATAAACGTGCTAACAGACTGGTACAAAAAACGGGTTTGGTCTCTACAGCCAATATCCCCATTCATGACAACTGTACGGGGGTTGAATTTTTATATAACTCACCCGTTTAAATAAAATGAAAGGCTTAAAGTTAGGCATAATTGTGGGCGTGGCCGCTTTAAGTGACGGTTGGGTGTCGTCGTAACTGCCAAGATGGCAGCGGCAACCGGAGCGACCCAACTTTGAGCCTCACAATGGCCGTTTTAAAACTAACACGGACTTCACGTCCATATTTTACACTGTCTAAATATATTAAAACAAACGCAGTTTACCGTGGAAGAACTACTGAAACCCCTTACTTTAGTTATAATACCTCAATGTTAACATACTACAATAAAACATGTACTTCAAGGAATAGTTTAACATGGTAGCGAGATCTGTCAGTTAGCTCGCTAAATGTTAAGCTAACGTTACAGCTAGCAACTGGTTAGCTTAGCTTACCATCATGAAACAGGGGGAATCAGCTAGCCTGGCTCTGTCCAAAGGTAAGAAAACGGCCTGTTAGCACCATTAAAGCTCACTAATTAACACGCTGTATCTTGCTTGTTAAATCGGCATAAAAATAGGAATGTAAAAACATCAATTGGCTGTTTTTCTTTGGGTAATGTGCAGCTGGTCATTGGGCAACTGGGCCCAGACCAACACATTTTTCAGTTTGTATGAATTAATAACGTTAACAAACTTGTGTACTTTAATTTAAGTATCCATACTAGCAACTGATTCACTCTACTACCAGTAGTAGAAATGCTGCCATGTCTCCCTGTCTGAAGCTGAAATCTTGGCCTCAGCTCGGAGTGTGAATTTAAATGCTAATAGCGTAGCTACACTTTAAAGCTCACTCCGACTGTATATATTATTCTGCGTCTTCTGGTATGGAAACAGTCATAATTGCAGTAGCAAACGTTAAGAAAAGATAAACAGTGGAAAAGCACCAAAGTACAGTAATCACATAATAACTCTGACTCGTAGATGTGACAGATTAGTGTGTTTGAAGGATTACTGACGCAGAGAGGATTAGAAATGAGCGGGAGGAAACAGTTTTAGGCTAATTTAAATCTCAAACTTTCTACTTTATTTCCCCTCTTTGTAATAGTACACAAACAAACTTGCCTTTTTAATGTTTTACCAGTGAACAAAAACACTCTTAACTCTGTGATAGTGTGCACATCTCTTCTGCTATGATTTTTAAAAAATGTTACATCTAAGTGACAGTTTTGAGAGTTTAAAAAGATTAGGGGCGCGTTAGACCAACACTTTAATGATTTGTTATGTATGTAAAAACCTTTATCTTTTGTAGGAAAAGATCAATGTGCTGCAGATGTGATTACTGTTTGCACATCCACAGCTTGCCAGTTTAATAAGACAAGAGTTTTAACTTAAGCCTCATGCCCTTCTTTCCCATGCGCAGTGCCAGAGGAGGCATCTCTCTCTCTTCCTATTCTGTGAAGCTGATCAAGCGTTTGCCACTGAATACATGGTGATTATAACTCAGACTGCTTTGATTGTTCTTTGTCATACAATGTATGATTGGAAACTTCTGCACAGATTTATTGTAAACGTTATACAAGTCGACAGAGAGAAGATAGAGAGGGTGCAGATGTCTGTTTGAACATGAGATTTAGACACATGAAAGACTGCAGTTTTTCCCACTTCACGTCTCTGGAAGGCAAAGCTGTGGTTATGGGTTTGTGGTGAGGATGTTTGCGCCGAGTAATTTGTCTCCCATGCGAGGCTTTGGTGATGGATCCTCTGCTCTGTGTGTGCCAGAGTTCAGCCAGCATGTGCACATGCAGGATGATAACGTTTTAAACTGCACTTTTGTGCTGATAATTTGTAAAACTGCAAGTAATCTGTCTTTTAGTCAGAATTATATTCTCGACAGAGTTTAGCATCTTGTGAGGCAGTTTTTTTAGACCAAAATTCAACCCTAAAATTCATTCAGAGATGATATATTGTGGAAAGAAATAGTCCATTAGAAGTAAAAGTCAGAGAAGGACTCCTGACAGTGTTACTTTATCATGTATTATATATTAGGATTGATGCATTAACATGGAAGCAGCGTCTTATCGTTATATTTGTCTGTTGTGAAGCTAATTTGACCCATTTTTATTGATCGTTGGCTGCTTTACTTTACTGTATAATTACAAAAAATCATATTTTCTATGTTTAATACAGATATTTCAACTCTTAATCAGCAAATAGATTCGTAACTACGTTCTCCAATAAGTGTAGTGGAGTAAAGAGTAAAATACTTTCCTCAGGGTAGAAGCGTAAAATAGTCAAAAATCGAAATACCAGAATGATAGAAAGTGAATAATCATTTATACACTGATATATTTCAGTCCAGTGGTTCCCAACCCGCATTAGGTTAGAATATGAAATATGTAGGAAGTTTAATTTTTAAGTCCTGCTACACAAATTAGCAATCTTGGACTAATCACTGATGTTCGATTTGTTTTGTGTAAAATGTTAATTATTGCTTCTTTAAACCTGTTATTTGAAGGTGACATCACTCAAGAGTTGTTTAATCTTTAATAATGCATTGTTTTACAAGGTTATGTTTACGTGAAATTGTCTTCAAGGTAACTAGTGTCTGTAACTGTCAAATGAAGTAGTGGAGTAGACGCATATAAAGTAGCATGAAATGGAAATACTAAAGTACAAATACTTAAGAACAGTAATAATAATAACTTTATTCATATAGCAGTCAGTGCTTGACTAAATGTAGGCTACCGTTACTTTCCACCACTGCATAAATAAATCAATAACACTAAAAGAAGATCCATTATTTTGAACTTGGAAGACAAAGTCAAATAAAAACACGACCAAATATGTAATGTTTCTCAGTGGTTATGCACTTTTATTCAAAGTTGTCGGTCCCACTGTGGGTCCCATGGTAGTTAATACCAGGATCAACTCATAATCCCTGAGAAGCCAGTATTGGGAATGAACCGCTCGAACCCTCCAGATACTGGAGAATAAACACCACAGTCACTTAACGCAGTTCAAGGCAGTACAAAAATATCATGTCCGGGTCAATAAACGCATATGTAAACCACAAAGGGGAAATTCCATCCTACACATTATACTACGCATTTAAAACAAAGGGCACAGTACACAATACTGCAGTCAAAATGTACAGGGCCACCCAATATGGGTGAGGGACGACACGGAGGGAACGGACCCCTCCATGTGGAAACACTCATGTTGCTCCTGTAAAGTTCTCACCTCAGCGGCAACCAGCCCATAAATATTATGTGTAAATAAAGAACATTCATGTTGAGGACAACAGAGAAGCTCAGCAGTCTTTTGTGCAAACTATTATAGACTGTGGCTCACGTTACACACGTGGTTATTATTTAGATGCCATTGTTTCTTTCCTTCTTTGCTTTTCACTAATTCTTCACTGTTGAACCTTTTTTTGAGGTGAGCAACTTTTCAGGAGCAATCATCAGCTCATTTGAAAGTCAGCTGTGCAATTTTTCAAACAACAATAAAAAAACATTTCAAAAGCAATTTAAAAGCTGATTGTAACCCTGAATCAAAATCTCTTCCACTCGTTATTCATCCTCCTTTGTAACAAATGCAAGGAGTGTTATTAAAAACATGAATGGATGAGAGATTGCGCCGGGTTATTTCTCTTTTCTTTGTTGTAGTTTGGACATAAATCTGAGGCATGTCATTAAAAAGGACGTAAATTAGGTCAGTTGACCAAAAAACTATCACAAAGGGAAAAGTGCTTAGTCCTGATATACCTCAGATTAGGTCACCAAAGGATGTATTAGGGAGTCTGCCAGCTCAGTTCATGGGAGAAATAACAGTTAACTTAAAAGCACAACAAAATCTTCATATTAGCACATTTGTCCGGAGTCATCGGAGTAAAAACATCTAAACAAAAAAGCCAATTATATGCGATAAAAGCCAACAAAAGCCTACAAACAAAGACCTGTATGGCTTTGCATTTCTTAAAAGCGAAAAAATAAAAATGTTAATGTGAAGCTGGCAAAAAGGCTTGAATATATGTCAATACATTCTATGAGAATTGCAGATACATTTACAAGCAACATATACATCACAAAGCTCAACTGATTGCCTGCAAAGCTTAACGCTGAAAGCTACTTCCTGCCGAGAGCCGGGGTCCTTCCACCAGAACATAATGGGGCGAGGTCCTGGCTCCGGACAGGAAGGAATAGTCCCGAGGCGGGCCGCACAGCAGCCCAGTAAAACTATTAAAGACCGCACAGCAACAATACAGCAGCCGTGCGGTCTAACGACAAACACTGGTCCCCGTGAGCCTTTCAGATACCGAGGCACGACGGGGACGAGGATGAGAAAGGAGCGGTCGCCCTAGAAGGCAACCTGAGGGGGACACCATGGGGTGTCTGGGTACAGGAGACAGTGCACCGACTTGAACCTGGAAGACAGCGAGAAGAACGTTGGAGTCAGACTTGTTGAAAAGTGTTGAAACTGATTTAAATCTGTGTCATTAAATCCAGAACAATCTCTCACCTCGATGGATCTTCCTCCACAGGATAAGCCCCTTTGAAATTGATGATATTACTCTTGTTTTCGAACATCCCATAACTGAGGGTGATCTGGAACAACAATTACAGGGGACACTTAGAACATAGAAGAAGAAAAACACCAAGAATACTGGACACGGACTGTGTACTTAATAAGCCTCTCACCTGCTTGTGTATCTCCGATCTGGACACTTGTTGCAGGTTCTCCAGGTGGGAGTGGAACAAGTTGCTGCGGGTCAGAGGAACCCCCAGAACCGACTCGATGATATAGCCAATGGTGCAGTCGTCGGGCAGCCGGATCTTCTCCGCCGTGTTCATGAAGTGGCCGCCGCTGGAGGAACAGAAAATACACACTTGGTCAGTGCTGAGTTTTGCTGTTTTCACCCTGAGCGTTCTGTAGATAACACAGGGTGTGTGTGTGTGTGTGTGTGTGTGTGTGTGCGTGTGTGCGTGCCTGCGTGTGTGTGTGTCGGTATCTCACCTGGCCCACGGGCTCATCTTCAGCGCCAGACCTCGGCTCACACAGAAGCCTGCTCCTCCAGTAGCAAACCAGAAGTTGACTGGTTTCTGTAAGGACACAGAGAAGAAGTTGGTCAATATGCAGAATCATCCGACAAATACGAGCCTGTATGATCTGGAAGTTACAATTCAACAAATATAAGAATCTTCTGCGTACCATCTTGTTGTCGCCCAGCCTCTCTGTGGCCTCGATGGGCCGGTCCAGACTGGGTTTACCGATGTACATGTCCTGGGTGTGGGGGTACTGGGACAGGTGCTTCACCAGAGTCCGAACGTTCACGTAGTTGTCATCATCTACGTGACAGAACCACCTAAGAAACAGAAGAACCGTTAGATCCTGAGATATTCACACTAATAAATACAAAAAAAAAAAAAAATCACAATTCAAATAAATATCAAGGACTCACTTTTTCCCCGACTCTATGAACTTATCGTATTCCACCGCCATCTTGCACGAGAGAGCTTGTCGGCTGTGAGCTGCAGAGCAGTTTGTGTTGATTGCGTGACTTCCTGTGGCAACAATTCAATAAACAGGTTATTAATGAAAGATGACACCATGAATGGAGGCTTTCACAGAAAAATGACCTTTTAAAAATAAGATTTCTCATTAATTCAGCGTGCCCTTTCTAATAAAACAAAGAGCATCTCAGTTCCCAACATGACACTTACCAATTTTCTTTTTCAGCTCCGCATCCTCTCCGTCTGTGAAGATGTGCGTCTGTAAACAAACAAAGGGAGAATTCAGATCAGTGGTCGTTAAATCCACAAAAAATGATAAGCGCTTTGGACAGTCATGTGAAGCGCCCGGTCACACGATCAAATTCAACGGTGTGTCCAAAGCCCGCCTTCCTCACGTCCATCCAGTGCGCTGTGATTAGCATCAATCAACATGCCTTTTATGCAGCGGAAAACACATCGAGTTAAACAACCCCGGCTCTAAGAAAGGCCTTTTTATCCCGCGTTTCACTCTCTCCATGGCAACTGTGCTGCCGCCCCGAAGCATCCCAGACATAGAACAAAGCAGGAGGCAGACTGTCCGCCCCCACACACACCCCATTCATGTATCCCATGCCGAGCCCCCCCCCCCCCCGGACCTGCTGCCGGGCTTCAACGTGTTGAATGCAGCTAAAACAGAAGCAAACAGCAGATAAACTACCAACACGATCCTCTGTGTGCTCGCCGCTGTACGACTGACAGACCCGTGAATCGAGCCACGAGACTGCAGGCGCTTGTTAAATGTAGCAGTTACTCATAAAAGGAGTGAACAACAAAAGGATTAGACTCCTCTTTATGGCGCCTCACACTGAGCAGGTGCAAGCCGGTGAATGGCGACTGATGATGAAAAGGGGCCCCGAGCTTCGTGTTTACTCTTCACCTCAGGTGAGGCAGCACCTGCCCAACGTCACGCTACCTTATCTGCGCCACGTGTCCCTACACGCCGATGTCAACTATGACTCGCACTCCTGCAACGTCTCTGCCCTGCTGCCGCCGAGCAACTGCCATTTCTATGCTCTGCATCCAGAAAACAGGCCGCTGACTTCACTCGGATGAAAAGACTCATCTTTCTACTTTTTTCTTTTCCCAGCCGACCGAAACAGTTCGTGGAAGCAGATGTTGCTCGATGCTGAAGCCATGAGCCGGTATTTGTTTAAGGAAGAGTGGTGGTTTGAGAGGAGAAGGGATCAGAGGCTGGCGCTGTTTGCTTTAAAGCCCGTTGAATAGACGGCCTAATCACTGAGGCAGCTGCCAGAGCTGCCAGGGCACTGACAGAAAGAGAGGGAGGGAGGGAGGGAGAGAGGGGAGAGAGGGGAGGAATCTCACTGCTGATTAGTAAATTGAAAACAGTGTGTGGCCATTCACCCCCCCCCTCCCTCCTTAGGCCCACGTACATGGCCAGAGCCTCTTGAATAGAACAATGCTGTGAGTTTTCATGCTGGGTAAAGTCTCTACTGGGTAAATTCTAAATATGTTTGCCAGCATTTGCATACAGCTGCAGCAGTTAACTAAAGAGAAACCTCCCTGGGAAGGCTTTTTTCCCCCTCCGTCTTTGTTTCTGAAATGAAACTTAAAGAGAACACTTACTTTCTCGGAATACTAATTCATACCACAAAAAAAAACAAAAAAAAACACCAGATGGCCGTGTGTGAAGCAGAGATAAGAGGAGAGGAGGGAGATGAGAGCTGCACTCCTGACCACAGGAAGACCTGGCACGGTCCTGTCTGAGCTGAACGTGGTGCCTGGCTGGCTGTCTCCAGCTCCACGGGAAGGAAGGGCATCAGACCCCCCCCCCCCCTACACACACACACACACACACACCCTCCTGCAACCACTTCCACCCCCTCCTGATTCAAAGCCTTTGTAGCCCATTTCATCAGGACAAATTATTTGTACCACCGCTGCACAGGATGGGGTAAATGGCGTGCACATATTAGTCACACATCTGTCCTCTTCAATGACACCCTCCCAGTTGTACTTCACAGCGAAGACATTTTAAAAAAGCGCCCATTGTTAGGAGTGCTGGCTAATTATCATACTCTTAAGAGAGGAATGCATGGCACGCCGTGAAGACGCCGGTGCCAGCTGCTGAATGCATCTGAAGGCGGTACGTGCAAGCTTTACAAATCAATCCGATCTACTCTCTGGAGCGGTTGTGATCCATTTTCTTCTTCTTGTTTTATGGCCCTGCTCTCAGTACAAAAGTCATATCGCTCAAGGGTGATTAATAGAGAACAGGAAGGCGTTTTGTACAAGAAAGAGTTGAAATGACTTTTGATGAGAAAGAGGCTGTCTGCTTCAAAAGCGCCAATTCACAGATAAAGTGGGTCTGGCGCTTAATAGCCTCAGAGGGTAACCTTTTACATAAAGACACTACAAAAAAGGCTGTTAGTGCTCTGAATGGGCTCAAAGATTAAGGCGGCCACAGGCGCTATTGTGTCAACACATCTATCGCAGAGATAATCTTCCCTCTCTGTTCTCATGTAAACAGCAGCAGATAGCAGCGCCATCTGCACACGAGAGAAAGAGATGTCCCTCTGAGCGGAAGAGGAGCAGAACAAGAAGTCTTTTAAAGAGCCGTTTGCATGAATAACACTTTTGTCCCTCGTGTGTGCTTCTACAAAAGTGATCCAAACTCCACAGATGTCCATCAGCTGAGCGTGAGAATCGACCGAGGATGGCCATATGTACACGGTGGGAACTCGGAGCATCATATGGCTGGCATTAGGGACCGTCCTTTGTTCCGTCGCTCCTGACCACCTGGCACCCTTCCTCCAGGAACTCCCTCTTGCATTGTGGGTCCCGCTCTGTCCTTTTTTTTGTCCACGCAGCCACCCACCAGCTGCCCGCCCGCAAGCCCTGCTGTTAACTCTGTCGGCTGGGTTAACTAACATCATCCAGTGCAGTGATTATTACAACCAATTAGCACAGTCAACTCGCATCCGAGCAGATGTTGCGGTGCAAGGTTTGGGCATGAACATGAGCCGTGCAGGTGATTGTGCCGGGCCTGTTATCTTTACAGTTTTACTGACATCAGACACTAGAGAAGAAACCCCAAACTTTACCAGAGAGGAGAACCTGTGTGTGACAGCGGCCGAGGCAAATTAAAAACGCAAAACCAAACCACTTTGAATAGCAGCTGTTTCCTCCACATTATAGCCGTGAGTGTCTTTGTGCACTCTCTGAAGGAGCTTGCTTCTCAAGGCCACATTTTCACACTCAGCGTGCCGCATAAACTCGCCTATAGACGCACCCCTTTGTCCCAGGCATCCCCTCAAACGAAGCCCCCGTTTTCCCATCCCTCCAGTGAGCTTGACCCAGACTCGGCTCCCACGTTCCCATGGAGAGAGGGGAGACAAGGGGCTGGGAAAGCTTTTCTTTCCCCTTCAGAAAGACGCTTTGTTAGTGCTGGAAGGGGGACAGCACTGGAGTCGGTGCTGTGAAGCATCCATTGCACCGGGGGCATTCACAGGGACACCCAAAGAGAGGAGGGATAATAGAGAGGGAGAGAGGGGGTGAGAGAGGGAGAAGTGGGAGTCCTGAATCTGCTCCCTCTCGTTCTCAGGGACATCACTCAGAGGAGAATAAAAAGTGACAGAGCCGAGGAGACTCAGCACGGTTAACAGGGCTTGTGTGGCTATTTCAGTGTGTCATGTGGTGACAAGGGGGAACAATGCAGCACTGTAAGCAGCCATCAAACAGGCATCACCTGCATCACTTATTGTTCAGCTCTGCAGCCCACAAACAAGCCCCCCCATCGTATCTACACTTCCAGCTGTACACATGCATCCCACATTTTCCTTTACCTGTTGCATGTTTCGTGAGATCCACGTGTCCAGCAGCAGATTCAGTCTGGACTGGTGGAACTTCTTGGTGGTCTTCACGGCGATGAAGACGTCGTCGGCGCTGATGTCCTCGGCTGGAGGCGGCTCGGCTGCGGAGGAGCGCGCGGGCTGCTCCGCCTCCCTCCGTCCCCGCGTGAGTTTGGTGAAGTACGCCGAGAATCCCTTCTTAGTTTGCGCGTCGCTCTCGTCGTGCCGCGCGGCATCCTGGAGCAGAGAGCGCGTGCCGGCGTCCCCTCCGGTGGCCTCGTCGTCCACCTGACCGCGGTGATGCTGCACGGCGACCAGGACCAGCAGCAGCAGGCAGAGGCACGCTGTGCTGGCGACAGAGATGGCTGTCTTCTTATTGCTATTCATCGACATGATTAAACTTTTTTTTTAAAAGACAAAAAAAAAACTATGAAGCGGCGCAACAAATCCCCAATGCAAAGTCCATAAGGTGTTTTATTCTCCCAGTAAAACAAAAGGATGAACAGTCCCGTCCGTGTGCATAGCGGAATCGCAAGTAAGTAGTTTGTTACAGGGGAGAATATATCAGCTTCCATGCTGGCCACGCCTCGTGGGAGGGCCTTGAATGCAGCATGCCAGCAACAGGGCGTGGTTAGTGTGTGCGTGTGAGTGTGCGTGTGTGTGTGAGTGTGTGTTATGCAGAGTTCAGTTTGGCTTTTACAGAGATAATAGGAGTAAAATATTGACCCAGAGAACACAGAGCTGCAGGTGGTCACAAGGAAAGGTGTGTTTCAAAATGCACCTGGAGGAAAAAGAAGTTCCTCCAGATCTAAATTTGCATTTGTCTTCTTTTCAAGGTGAAGCTATTTGAATTCTGCCGGGTGTTCACCAGAGAAACGGGCTCTATTGTTCTTCACTGACCTTGTGAGGACTCTAAACAGTTGGCCATTCCTGAAAACACTTGTTATTCAAATTCTGGCTCTCACAACCGAGTGCCGTCTGGTGCCGGGAGGCTGACCAAAAGACACGAGAGTCCATTTAGACCCACATGCAGCTGGTGGAGCCTCAATAACCTCCCCGACGCCGGGCAACAAATGTCTGGTTAAACAGAGGTCTTTACATTTTGGCACAAGATTGAAAAAAGCTGCCGAAAACACAGACGATTTTGGTCTCAATCTAGATGTTGGGATAAACTCCTAAAAAGTCGATACTCATGCTGAGTCACACTTCTCATGTCTATTTTAACTCATCATGCTTAACTCCTGTCTTTACCTGCACCTGAAATATTTAGCAAATCTTTTGCAAGAGAAATAAATGTATTTTCCACTGCAGGTGTTTCATTCTTTTAGTTCTGGGACATCCAGTACATAAGTTACCTCCGTGCTTTGTTGCTGCTGACAAGGTCCTTTGTGCCCCTTTTAAAACTGAGCACAGAAAGGCTTCTAAAGGCAAGTATAAGAAACCAGGCAGAGGGGGTTGTCTCCGAGGCCTTCATTCTTCTCTTTCTTGCAGGGCATTCGTCGCACCTCAGAAACTCTTTTTGGTCCTTTTGGACTTGTGGAGACAATGTCAGCTGTTAAAATGGCTCCAACCTCCCTCTCTGTTCAGTTTGTTTCAGCCTTTTGCTTCCTCCACGGGCACCAGCAGGAAAAACGCTTTCTTGTCCCTTTTGAAAATCAGCCCACCTCGTCTTTGACGGCCCTCCATCTAACATTACTGCTGGATTAAATCCAGCGTCTTCAGACAAGCCCACTTCCTCACCAGAGAGCCCACAAACCCACGAATAAACACCCCAGTGTGCTTGATTTCTTCCCCCCCAGATCGTATCAGCACGCTGGGGGATCTGAGCGGTCTGAGAAGTTGTTTATAGTTCCTGCTTTTACAGAGACGATGATGTGTGATGCACATAGCCTACAGCAGGTAAACGATCCCAGCATGCACTGGGACCACAGTGTCACAACTGTCCTGAAAGCATCGTTTCAGCACTAAATATCTCTTCTTTTATTCGCTGATACATGCCGCAAAAGCAGAGAACACATGTGCGCACTCAGCTCTGCGAGATGTCAGTTATAACTCGATACTCTGAGGATCCAACATGGAAGACATTAGCTGGAAGCCACATCGTTCTTTTCAACTCGTGTTTCCATTCATCTTCTGTCTGTTTAACATTCCTCATGCTGGATGGTCCCCAGTATGGTTCTGAAGCTTTTGTTTATTACGGATTCAAATCTACTCGATTGCAGCCTTTCAAATGAGTCTTAGATCTCCTGCATACTAGACTCTTGGATCATTTCCTTAATGTATCCATATCTCCTTCCTTCATATAGGATCACATGAGTGTTTCAGGGCGTCAAACTAAATGTAAGAGTTATAACTGTTCTGTAAAACATCAAACAGGGAGATTTAGTGTCATTACCTCAATGTAAACATATGTTTTATTCATTTCAAGATAGTTCAGAGCTAGCAGAGACTCGCTGTGTCTTTAACGCATGTTCGGATAAGTCATGGTCGTTTCTTTTCGTCGTAACGAAAGCAGCATGATGAAAAGTGTGATCAAGAGCTATATAGAACAAATTGAATGAGATGGCACCGTGAACCGGGATCAGTCTGCGGTTCTGTTTATTTTCCCAGCATGCACACAGCGGCTCTGACTGGATTACAGCTCACACCAGAAGCGAGAGCCAGGGGACCGAGCGTCCTCCTCAGATCTCGGTGTCAGTTTCCCTCCTCATGCAACATTAGAGGAAACTCTCCGAGGACCGAAGGCTGAGAACGCTTCAGCTGCCCGACAGACAAATAAATACCTCCCGCTTCTATTGACCTGCAGAGAGTCTGAATGGACTTGCTTCAGCTAAACGCAGTGAACCTGTGGAATTAGATAAAACTTCATAATGCATGAGATAATGATGATGCAAAAGGCTGCATACGTGTTCTTCTTTGTCTCTGAAGCATCAATACTGGCACAATATTGTATCATGCTGCAGAGGAAGTATTCAGATACTGAAATAGAAGTCGCAATACTGCAAATGGAAAAAAGTGTCACTTAATTAAGTATGAGTACGAGTTTATTATTCCATTATGCATCTATGTGTTAGCAGCATTTTATTGTTGGAGGGGGTCATTGTGGAGGAAGTTTGCACACTGTTATTTATCAGTTCATCATGTAATTTGTGTGTAAAACCTTATTTTTGTAAAGCTATAAAAACAGTTATATAATAAAAACGACAGCGACACTCATACGGTCACAGAAATAATCATATATGTACTGTTTTTATTTACTGTGGCTTTGTAAAGCAGCTTGATTTAGTTGAACTGTAAATGATCAACCAGAGCTGAAGAGAGTGTCGGGTTACACGCTGACAAGCCTGGACACGTTGAACGTCATTTCTTCTGTTCAATAATAATATAAAGACACGTAAACCATCTTTAATTTGGGATTCATCTGTGAGCCACTCAGAAATAAAATAAATCAGGTACCAGTCTTCTCAAACTTCTCCACTCTCTACAGAACCACGTGTTGTTGGAAACTAGATATTCACTGGAGACCTTCAGGTTTATATTTCTACTCAGAGCTCACTGAACTCATGGGACCTCTAAAAGCTGCTGACAACTTTGACTTAGGCCATGTCCACATTACTCCGTTTTTACTCCGTATTTGCTACGTTTACACTGAGCGGCCACACTACGCCGGAGTTTTGGAGCACCCTAAAGGGAGGAGTCTGAAAACTCCCCAGAGGTTGGAGGTATATGAAAACTCCGGGGTTTTGGTTGAGTGTGGACGGTCGGAAACGGATGTGTGTTAGAAAAAATGAGCCCACACCCATGTTCGCTACTGGATTGGTTATTAGCAGCCATGACGTCTCCGTCCCTGATTCGTCACACTCACTATCACGTGACCCGTACCCGGAAGAAAACAAACAGCCAGGGCGACCAGTAATTCATTTCAACATGGATAACTAATTTCAAGCGTTGCTGCTAGCTGTTGTGCAGTAAAGTCTGCATATCTGTGGAGGAAGCAGCTGTTATTGGAGCTATTCAGAGCTATGAGTTACAACAACAACAGTTAGTGCCTCGTTGTTTTTAGATTCTAATGAGAAGACACGGTGCTTCGTTTTACTTCTTCCGTTTGGTAGCCTTGAGAGACCTTAGTCTGTAAGTATGCCTGTATGAAGCATGAAAAGATGTACGAAGATATATTATATTCGCTAATGCTAATTGCGGTTAGCATTTCCCCATTGGCGGTAATGTTACAATTAGCTTAGAAGCTAGCTAGCTAGTCGGACATGTTACATGATGTTCAGAGCTAGAGTTGTGCCCTAAAATATGGAGCAATTCCCCCATGCCCTAAAGAATTGATAGAGGGCGAAGATGCTGTCCCTGTTTTTCTGCTGGGTGACCCAGCTTATCCCCTGATGCCGTATCTCATGAAGGAATACCCCAATGGCGGAGCTACACCACAGGAGCAATAAATGCTATTCCGAGCTAGGAGTGACAAACAGACAACAACACAGAGGAAACGAGTGATCGACATGTGTTAACCACATTTATGGACCCATAATCTAGTAAACGTTTACATGTAAGTGTTGACTTTAAAGTTGATATGAGAGAGAGAGACCCGCAGCGCTGTAACTACGTCTGAAAAATAAAACTTTCCACGAACTGTCTCTGTTTGAGTTTATAGAGGAAGATCTTAAGTATCAAATACAACCTTTCATTATTAAAGACTACTTTATTACTCTGTCGTATTTTGTTTAACTAAGCAAGCAATCCACTTCCTGTTTACACCGTCACACGCATGCCCAGTGTACGTTAATGGTCACGTGCTGTCAGCCTTCGAAGGCTGCCGTGTGGATGCAGATCAACTCGAGAATGATGCTGAAACTCCCGTGTGGACAGAGATCGTTTCTATTTGACAACTCTGCTTCCAAGTAGAAACGGAGTAGTATGGATGTAGCATTATTTCCATTTCATAATGTGAATTTGAAGAGGTTGGTGGTTGCATGTGTGTTAGAAACAAGCCTGTGAAAAGGTTCCTGGTGTTGAAGTAAAGGCCATTTTCTCCACCAGTACTCCGTCTCTCATTGTCTGTGGCCGGTGTAGCTACCTCACTGAGACGTACAATGGGAGGCTTCAGCAGACAAAGAAAAGGGGCATTGAGGTACTTTTTAATTGTTTGTGGTGGAGTTCTCTCATCGGGCCCTTTCTCATTTAAATAGAAATGGGTGAGCCATTGCAGAGGCAGTGTGCATAATCTGACTAGTTTTCTCTGTAATCACAGGATGTAGTTGGACAGGATGACTTCAGATATTTCGGAGGATGTGTCAGCAGCGATAAAGTTTACACTTGATTTCTAGGCTAAATAAACAAGCCGAGTCGAGAAGAAAGACACGACTCTTTAGATCCAAAGACGATCAAAGACACTCACGGCTGGTGGTTGATGTCCTATTTTATAGTCCCCCCCCCCCCCCCCCGATTATAATTGTTCCCTTTTCACTCTTCTCTCCATAACCAGGCGAACACGAGCTATTTGCATAACTGTTCAGA